TCATGTGATGGTATGGGAGATGTCAACGAGAAACATGGATCTGGTCCAGCGGTTCCTGAGAAGGTAGTGAGGTTTTCCTTCACAATCATGTCCATCTCCATCCGAGTTGAGGGTGAAGATGATGGCATCACCATCTTTCAGGAACAAAAGCCAAACTCTGAGCTCTCCTGCAGACCTATGTGCCTCATGTTTGTGGATGAGTCCAACCATGAGACCCTGACGGCCATCTTGGGACCTGTGGTAGCAGAGCGGAAAGCCATGACGGAAAGTCGGCTTATTTTATCGGTTGGTGGTCTGCTACGATCCTTTAGGTTCTTCTTCCGGGGCACAGGCTATGATGAGAAGATGGTTCGTGAAATGGAAGGCCTAGAAGCATCAGGCTCCACTTATATATGCACACTCTGCGACTCAACCCGAGCTGAAGCGTCTCAGAACATGGTGCTACATTCCATCACACGTAACCACAATGAAAATCTTGAGCGCTACGAGATCTGGAGGACAAATCCTTTCTCAGAGTCTGCTGATGAGCTCCGTGACCGGGTCAAAGGTGTTTCTGCCAAGCCTTTCATGGAGACCCAGCCTACTCTAGATGCCCTGCACTGCGACATTGGCAATGCTACTGAATTCTACAAGATCTTTCAGGATGAGATTGGCGAAGTCTACCAGAAGAGCAGTCCGAGCCGAGAGGAACGCCGTCGTTGGCGGTCAACCCTGGACAAACAGCTAAGAAAGAAGCTGAAACTCAAGCCTGTGATGAGGATGAATGGAAACTATGCTCGTCGGCTGATGACACGTGAAGCTGTGGAGGTGGTCTGTGAGCTGGTTCCTTCTGAGGAACGGCGTGAGGCACTACGAAAACTGATGGACCTCTACCTCCAGATGAAGCCTGTGTGGCGTTCCAACTGTCCCTCCCGAGACTGCCCTGACCAACTCTGTCAATACAGCTACAACTCTCAGCAATTTGCTGATCTGCTTTCCAACACATTTAAGTACCGCTATGATGGAAAAATCACCAACTACCTCCATAAGACTCTGGCCCATGTTCCTGAGATTGTTGAGAGAGACGGGTCTATTGGAGCATGGGCCAGTGAAGGCAATGAGTCTGGGAACAAACTGTTCAGACGTTTTCGGAAGATGAATGCAAGGCAGTCCAAAATGTTTGAACTTGAAGATATACTTAAACACCATTGGCTGTACACCTCCAAGTATCTTCAGAAGTTTATGGAGGCTCACAAGAATTCAGCAAAAGCAATGCAGGCCACATTCAACCCAGAAGAGATCCCAGATGAAGTTGACATGCCTCTTGAAGTCCCAGATTTTTGAGCTTTTCTTTGATTGACTTTCTTTAATGGACCATTTTTCTTGCTAATGAAAATATTAAGTAATTGATTTTATTTCTTGAGATGAGATTTAATATCACGTGTAATGGCTTTATTATTCACTTCATTATTTTTTTTGAAGCCAGTGCATAAACGTGAGCTAAATTGTTTTATGGCAGAGATAAAATTGTATGGGCAGTCTTTTTTCTGCCCAGCTTTTAGAGGCAAATCGTCTGTGTTTTATCTCTTGCTGCTTGTGAAATATGTGGGATTTTATTGTATTGCCAGGTTGTGACACCTTCACGAATTCATACAGAAGGGTTATTTATGAAAACGTATGAGGGAGTTGTAAGTCACTGAAATTGTGTTAAAGGAGCCCCACATTTACGATGGCTATATTAATACATCACACAGGACAAAGACAAAATGAAATTAGGAAACACAAATTGTCTTCTTTGCAGAAGGTCTAAAGAAAAAGGGGTTATTTTAGCAGTGCAGTATTTTGATGGTTTTCAGCTGGTCCACAAATGACTATGAACACCCATAGACACTATGCTACAGCATTTGCACATTTACATACATTTACCCCATAACCTACCTCAGTCTTCAATCTTACAGGTACCACAGGACATTTGCACCACGCCGCTCACAAAAAAAAAAAACACTTTTTCAAATATTCTGGAAGAAATTAGCATGTGTTTTACACCATAGCACCTATTGACTATTGTTAGAATTTCTTTATTGCTATTGTATGTGTTACAGTTTAGAGATGTGTGGGCTATTCACTTAAACTTGTACCTCAATGTATTAATCATGTTTCTCTTATTTTGTTTAATAGTATCATTGTGTTTATTGTGCTCTCTTAAACTGAGAGGATTTTGGTGATTTACTTTACACATGTATTTTATTTTCTTTTTCAGCTGATTGGTTTCTTTGTGAATTGATTTTACTGGTTTCTTTGTGTCTTGATTTATTAGATTTTTTGCTTTCTTTGATACATTATACAACAATTTCAAATGCTAATTTGTCATGTAATCCCAAGTGACAAATTAAAGTGTTTAAATTGCTTTATGTTATGTTTTATTTGAAATAAAAGCCTGCATTGCACAGTTTATTATTGTAAAAAAAAAAAAAATTTTTTTGTAGACTTGCACAAAGGCACTGGTAAAGTACTTGACCCATCATTATTTTTTCTTTCATTTTGCAAGAGCATTACAGTGATTGTTGTAATCCATGAATTCATACTTTGTTTTTTTTTTAAAGATTGAGTATAAATGTTTTGAAATAAATTACATTTGACTTATTTTCCTTTTGGGAAATAATAAAAATAAATAATTCAAAAATCCAATCGAGAACTTTTTGTCCTATTTTATTTTATTTGTTTATTTATTTTTTTTTGTAATATGTTATATAACAATATAATGTGTGTGTATGTATATATATATATATATATATATATATATATATAAATTCTAAGCATAAAAACAGTTATAATATTTTCCATGAAAATGATTTCTCTTTATTTAAGCAGAAAAAAACAAGCTTTCCCCCACATTTTAAAGAAGAAATAAATCATCAATTTAACAATAATAAAAAAGACTTGTAAAAAATGCTTGTAGTTTCTTAATACTGCAGTAAGCATATTCATTCAATTAATAATACATTTCTGTTATTTCTATGAAAAAAAAAAACATCCAATTTTCCGTTAATATAAAACAATTAAAACACATAGTTATGATATATAACAGAACAGAACAACGACATTTCAGTCAAAAAGTCTCCGCAGAAAGCTCTTCTTAGCTGGGGTCATTTTCATTGAAACTGGAGCCTTGCGATGGGTCATTTTCATTGGGACTCTCTTCACTGGCATCATCTGGCGTGGTGGAGTCATCTCCTGTTTGGGCAGGCCTCTGTGATCCAAGCAGAAGTACTTGCTGTTGTCTTGAGAAAGGTGAAGCAAAAGGCTTTCAGGGAGCTCCATGCACTGGGCATGGACCCAGTGTCCACCTTCACCTCTGGAGCAGAAGATCATGGCAGGTCTGGTGAGTTCAGTAGAGTAGTAGGGCTCCCAGGTGTTGGGGTCCACCTGGCAGGCTAGACAGCACTTGATCCAATAGCCTGTCTGAGATTCATCCTCCTCGTCTTCCTCATTGTAGGTGTCTCCATCACTGCTATACTCCAGCTCATGAGGTTCTCTGCCAAAGTACAGCTCCTCAGAGTCTTCCAAAGGTGCAGAGTCCTCAAAATCAGTGGACTCCTGGCTGCATCCCTGCGTTGATGTTTCTCCATTTTGTTCCTTCTGGAAGCTCACCTGATAGAAATGGTAAGCATCTGGTGGAGCTGGGTTTCCTTCAGAGGGGATTGCAATCAAGGCACTTCCTTTGCACAGGCTGCCACCAAACCAAGTACGGCTGTGGGTTACCTCACTGGTCCACTGAGGAGGTTCACGAGGCTCCATGTGGACTCCGACATCATCCAGGCCAATGTATGTGCACTCCATGCGCTTCTGAGTCTCAGATTGGTAGCCACCCAAAACTATATACTCATGATAGCCAACAGGAGCAACTATGGCACTGGTAATGGTGAGACCTTCATGAAGAACAGTACAGGTGAGGACAGGGCTTCCTAAGAGAAGCTCCACACGTAGGCGGATCAAACGAGGTGGTCGGCAATCAGAGTTGAGAATGTGACCGCCAAGGAAGTAGACACAGTCCTCTCTTGCAAGAGCTACATGAAACGACTGGCCGTCCGTGAGCTCGGGGAGGGTGTGGGCCGTACAGCAACCAAACTCTAGGTCAATAAGAAAGACTTGTGGTGGACAGTCCACCACGCTGTTCCAGTTTTCCGTGGTCCTTTCGGTGGGGGGCATGTAGGACCTGCCGCCAAACAAAACGCAGGCGGTCTTCCCTCGGCTAAGGATCACGCTGAGGGTGTGGCCGTATCGAGCGCTAGGAACATCTCCAACCAGCTCTTTTTCTTGACAGCACAATGTGACTTTGCGATTACATCCTCTGCTGTCTACACTTAACATGTAGAGACTTGAGGACAGCTCATTGTTGGGCGTTCGGCCACCATGAATGAGGTAACACTCAGGACTGCCATCATGAGGCTCAAAATGAGCTATCGCAGGACATCGGAGGGGAGGGAGATAACAAGAGTTGTTTGAAAATGAAATGGCACGCAGCTTAAGCTCTCCATTTTTTATGCGTACACCAAATATTCCAGTTGGACATGAGCGTTTTGGCCAGCCCTTTTGACCAAAGAGGTAAACGTCATCCTCCAGCTCTAATAAGGAGAAGCCTGGTTGCAGAAGGCCAGCACAGTTCACAGCAGTCAGAGGCTGTAAGGTCATCTTTTTGCAGAGAACTGTGTAAAATATAAATGAAAAACAAACATTAATTATTATTCATTTTAGTGGTTGTAGAATATAAACATTTTGTCAAGAAATTCACTGTAAATTGCATAGCTTGACTGAATTAAGACTAGCATCATATTAAGAGTAATATGATAAGATTTTTTATTATTATTATCATAATTAATCAAAGTAATGAAGAAAAAAATGCGGAACCATATATCCCTTTCCTTGTTTCCCTGATAACCTAGAAACGTTCCCACAGGAAATCGGTTGTAGTTTTCCTTATTCCCGCTTCCCTTAGAGAATCCCGTTCAGCTTGCAATAAAACTACATTACCCAGCATCCAGTGCGAAACTGGCGTTTCTCGTTCTACGTTTAAACGGTACGTCTGAGATGTTTCTTTCAACTCTGAACGCTGTTATTCTCTTATTTTCTTCTTAACAGTTATCAGCGTTTCTCAGTTTTACACTTTTTAGATTCATTTTAATGTCTTTATATAATCAATTTCGCAAGAAAAATCTTGTTAGACAAGTAGGCTAAGCTCTGGCTGTCATCACTAACGTTAGTGCTACACTATAAAAATAGCCTAAAGATAAAGATAAGAAGCTTTTAAATCACTTTATAGTTATAATAATTATATTAGGATAATCGTAATTACCTAGGTGTTTATTTTCTATAAAGCACAAGAATTTCACATACATTTCTATATATTTCATTCATAGTCTTAGGATATTGAGCTTAATAACATGTATAGTTCTTACCTTTTGGTCAATGCACTCCGAAAACTAAGAGCTGTGTGGTGCTGCTAACTTTTATTTGAGATATTAAAGCAAATGGCCCAGTGACAGTGGAAGAGGTTCAGTGTTTGTGAAGGTTGACTAGCTCATCTTGAGGTTAACTGCCTGTAACTGCTGCTAACAACAGGTGTCTGAGCACAAGTTTGAATGAAAACAAGCACAAACTCCGTGCATCATTGGTCTGTGTATTAATATGGACTTCATATTGGTGTTTTACAACTGATGATTTATTTGCCTAAAAGATTAATCCAGAAAATCTCATAAGAATTTATATGGATGGTCTTTCTTCCCAAATGAACACCACTGACACTATGTATAATGTAGTTTGATTGGAATGTGTTCTATTAATATTAATATTATTAATTATATTTTGAAGGGTTTTAAGAAAACAATATTATGAATATTGTTGAAGAATGCATTTAATTATTTTAAAGTGATAGTAAAGACATTTATAATGTTATGAAATATTTCTATTTCAAATAAATGCAATTAGTTCAAAACTTCCTAATCAAGGAATTCTGAAAAAAAAAAAGTATCATGGTTTCCACAAAAATATGAAGCAACTTCAACATTAATGATTATAAGAAATGTTTCTTCCGCACCAAATCATCCTATTATAATGATTTCTAGAGGATCATGATGCTGACAATTCAGCTTTGCATCACAGAAATAAATTACATTTTAAAACAAATTCAAATAGAAAACAGTTAGGCCTATTTTAAATTGAAATAATATTACGGGTTTTTTTTTCCAGTATTTTTGATCAAGTAAATTCAGCCTAGGTGATAGCACACATACATCACGGAGACATCTTTGATGTCTGCATGATGCATTTTTTAGATTGTTTGGACATTTCCTAGATGTTCAGAAAATGTCTTTAAGATTTTTATGATTTAGAATTAGGGCTGCACGATTAATCGCATGCGATATTTAACGCGCATCTTATCAGTAAAGCCGGTTCTGTAATCAGCGGTAAATCTCCATCACCTGCGTGCTTTCACATTGAGCAGCATTAACTACACAGAGCCGTTGTTCACTGATGAGCAGCGCAAAAAATCGCGCGAATATGAACGTGGTTTAGCGCAGCTCGTCAGTGAACAACGGCTCTGTGTAGTTAATGCTGCTCAATGTGAAAGCACGCAGGTGATGGAGATTTACCGCTGATTACAGAACCGGCTTTAC